AATCTAGCTTTCTTTGCTCACAGAAGGGCGCAGATATATTTTGTAGTCGAATATCGCCTAACATATAACAGGGTACATTTGCATGTGTGGAGCTAATGTATTTCGCGAATGGGCTATCTCGACACAAATGGCAAGTTTTTTTCAAATAGACAGCAGATACTAATAAAGTGGACGTTTACCTTTTGTGCTATGGAAGATAAGTATTGCCAGAAGTTGAACCAATTTTTAAATGTTTTATTCTATTATATTTTGAAGCATTATCAGAGATGAAATGTAGTATTTGGAAGAAGTTTCATTAAATCTTACTTAGATGTAACAAAGCACCGAAGGTGTGATAGCTATTTATAAGAGGAACAAAAGAACGCCATTGTCCCCATTCGGAATACGATGGCATGGAGGTGGCACATACTGGAAGGGNCAGATGAAGTACATTGATGAAATGAAGCCAGCTTTGAATCAATTAGACTTAAATACGCCCATAGAAGTTTAAAACATGGCATAAACCACTCAAACCAACGCTATTTCTATACAATATTTTCCATTTAAAGTGCAAAGTTTTGGTAGAACTTGTTATTGAATCTATTTCTGCGACTTTGAAAACTTGTAGGCTTGAAAAGACCTTACTTTAGACATTAATAATTAAGTCCATGGAAGTTCAAGAAACCTTTAAGCTCAAATCGATAATATTTTTAGTCGTTCGTCAAGCTGTTCATCTTACTTTACCTTAAACATGCGTTGACTCAATTGATTTTAAATTAATCAGTATCATTACACGTTAATTCTCGATTTTAAATATTAAATACGTTCCCATTATGAGATTTAACTTATGAAAAAAAACATTCAAAATTGAATAAACATAAAGTTTGGAGGGGAGTAGAAATAAACCATGTAAAAAATATATGTAGAATAAATTTGGCCCTAATTCATTTGACATTTTTTTAGACTTAGGTTGCAAAATATTTACCAAAGGTCAGTCTACTAAGTCACGTTCCAAAATTCTAACTTCATGGTCACTGATCTTGAAGCATATTCATGTGCACCACGTTAATTAATCTGTTGATTTAGTTGTACAGTTGTTTACACCTATTCCAAGTAATTCTTCTTTCAAAAGCCACCAAAGCCATTTGATACTTCCTAACAAGAATTTTGCGAAACGCAGTTTACCCATGTTCCAATTTTTTGGCCACACTTTTAAATACAATTACTTTTACTAAGTTCTGACCATATGTACTAGTAACTAGGACAATCTTGAAACTCCTCAACTTTATTAAATTTCTCTAGCTTGCTGAAATTATGATATTCCCGTGCATTTCAGAAAGTTTGTGGGACACGTTATCGCGTTGTGCGTCATCGTATGCCTGCATGTCTGCTCGTCAGGATTGGGAGGTGCGCCGTAAAACTCTGTGTGCAGCGACCGTACAAACAGTGACCAATCATTAACCTCTGTTTGTTTAACCTAATCCCACATCCTGACCATGAGTAGCTCCCTGCGTGTACACACTTTATCCACAATATACTCGCTGAGTAAACGTGCTCCGTGCTACACGTCTGTTTCCTTTATAGCTGGACTATAGCTTAGTTGGTCCTGGGAGTCTAGCTAGATGCAGGAGAATCTGCCAAAGAGATTTCTGAGTCAGTCAGGCTTTAATTAGGTAGCAATCCGCTACAAGTTTAACATCTAATTTCTTGCTGTACTTAAAGCGCTTTTTGCAATAAACTTGCCGGCGTGTCCTACAATATTTCCCCTCCCCCTCTTCCTAGTAGAGCGTTTGTAGAGAGGTAAAATATAAAGGAAAACGCACGGAAATTAGTTAAGGTACATAATGTATCAGTCGAGAGGGGAAGGTAACTCTTCGGCCGCAAAGTGTGCAACAGGGATTTTGTCGAGGTTGAACAGGTGTTGAAAAATGAGTGTTTAAAGTATTTGCGAGAAAAAATAGCAGGGCTGGGGTAGGAAACGCCTCGACGACGACGTTTGGGAGAGGTAAGTACAGGTGAGCCGTAAATTTATATAGAGATATGTCGAAAACGGGCCTCGGGAAGAAAAAACGGAATAGAAGATTTCGTGTATGCTTGTGGGCCTTGCTGTCTTGACAAGTGATGTCGGATGTATCTCCAAACACAACGATCGGTGATAAGCGTAGTGGTAGAACGGATGTTTGGGTACGAAAATCCATGGAAATGGTCAAACCCTTCCGAGGGTGGGCTTTCGATACGAATGGCCTTGGCTTGCCGGTTGAAACTTAGCAATGGATCGGGTGTTTGAGACTTGTAGGGGTAGGTATTCGAAACGTTCCGTGTGACATGTATGTTATCTTAGACATTCTGAGTAAGTCTGAGAGAGCGAATAAGATAGTCGAGGAGTGTCAATGAGATGACGATCGTTCGAATAGAAAGGAATCACCAAATGAGTTGAACGTTGTGAAGTACAATCGGGATGCCAGAGAGAGATTGCTTCTCTACCGAGCGGATGAAGTCAGGCTTTGGCAGTCACATCAGGATCACCAATTTGAAGCGGAATGCTACACCAAAATTCCTTGACTGTACTCGGAAATTTCAGTGACAGAATCTCCTACGTTTGGCTAGACTCCCAAAACCAGATAAGCTACAGCCCAACTAATGAGGAAACAGACGTATCGCACGGAACGCATTTAATCGGGAGGTTTGGTGTAGTAAAAGTGCACATACCGGAAACTTAGTCATAATCAACATGACAGATTGGATTGACAAGCAAATGCTTTTGATTGGCACCTTCAAACTGGTTAATTCGCGCAATGCGATTACTTGTTAAGCGATGGTGTGTCCCACACCATTGCATAGCTAATTCTCCGGCTCGATAAGGCATCATCAAATGAATTTCACCAAGGAAATCATTAAAATGACAAATTTAACAACCACTTCTTTTTTGAGCAAACAATTGTTATCACTTACTTTAAAAACTAATCAGACTTCCATTCTATTCCCAATCGTCAAGTTAACATTGATCGATGTACATCGAAATTTTACGATAGAGAGGAACAGACAGTTAAATGACTATTTTTAAACTCTAGTTTAGCAAGATAAAACCCAAAGAAGGGGTAATGTTGTTTCCGAATCCCATTTTACTGACAGATAATAGAATTCTTTTAGTCGGGAAAGTAGCTGTTGCCATCAAGGAAAAATGGATTGTTACATGGGGTAGTTATACCCGAAAAAAAGGCATTTCAAGTGACAGTAACTTGAAATTTCTTTCCAAAATCAATGTGGAAATAAAAAGGTGTGAAGATTTATGCTTGGAAATATTTTATTTCGCAAATTTGGAATAACTTTGTTAAGGTTTTTATGTATTGGGACAGAGAGGAGTGAAAGGAATCGGAGCTGACCAATGAAAAGAGGTAATTAAATTGTTAGAAGGGAAACGGCAGCAACATTGTTAAACTTAGAAAGAAGCATGAGTTGGATGAACTACTGGAAGTTGCGAGAAAGGAGGAAAAAATCTTGAAGGGCAGAAATCTGACTCGACTATCAAATTTGTGATCAGTAAAATTGAACTATTGTTTTTTTACTACAGACTTAAGATTGTACATGTACATAACTAACTAGTTATCTCGAACTCTCTTTGTCCATGACAGGGATATGGTGACTAAACAAGTGAATTCATGGTAGTGTAGACCTGATCCACTTATAAAATTGATCCTCACAGGAAAAAGAACAGACAAGTTCAAACTCAGATCCATCGTAAGTAATTTCTGAGATGTTGTAACCCCAAGCCATACCATTCTTCATTCATATCAAATAATTATATTCCACAAGCTCAAATCACATGTATGTAAAATTCTTTAGTAGGGAAATTATTCATATCGTACACTAGAACATTTTTGAAATTGCTCAGCATTTATTTAGTTTGTGAAATATATGTAACTATAAACGATGTTCACCCAATCGTTTCATCTCCCCATGAAAATAAAAACTACCTCAATGAACTTCTCAATTATCTTAAATGGGAAGAATATAATAGACTTCTTATTTTTGCATCGTTTTCAAATGAATAACTGGAGAGTAATTATTTAATGAGTAATAATTATGCAAAAAAGGGAAAATAAATTCACTTTAAAAAGTAATCAATAAATTTGACCACTCTGGTGTTAGGACAAAAATAATAATTCTATTCATATTTTATTTCACATCATTGCTTTGTATTGGACGAAATTAGCGGGAAGAGGACAGTAAAGCCACTGAATATGGTATCAAATGGTATTCTTTTTTCCAAGCTTCTTCAAATGCAAGGTTACATATTTGATGAGAAATTTTTAAAAATCTTAATTTTGGAACTGATCATTTGAAAATTTGGAAAAGGGTGTCAATGTATGTAAAGATCATTAAAAGCAAAAATTATGAGTTTTGCAGTATTTTTCTATTTAGCTATAGTGCATGAAATTCATTCGAGAATCATTCCGATATGAGTGCACGATCAATACCTGTACCTGAAATTTAAGGCCTATTATCTGTCTAGCAACCATTAGGTATCGGCCAGACAAAATAACACTTTAATTTTAAGGATGAGAATGAGAAAAGAATTACACGGGGACCAGTGAATTTATTAGCTTTTAATCTCTGTATAATCAAAATAATGTTAAACATAATAATTAGCATTTATCATAAAGTCTTTCGAAATCGATAATAATATAATAAGTCTGGATCCCAAAAAAGTGAATTTGGTTGTTATTTAGTTATGCATCCTATACATATTTTTTTAAAAATTTTTTTAATTTAGAAATCGATTTAGTAGCTATTTCTGTTTTTTAGGTCTGTCAAAATAAAATGAAATCTATAGGTCATCCTTATGTCCAAAGCCTACTCCTTTCATCATATGGGCTATTAAACAATACTTAAAAATTACCCTATTTGTCTTTACTGAATTTATGTAAATTAAAACTGAAAACTCTAAAATATCCCGCTCTTAATACATTATAATTTATTATTTCTTCAATTTTTCTTTCTATCTTAGTAGATTTCCAACCATGGGTACAAACGATCGTACAACTTATGTGGACCGTTTGAAGACATATCCAGTGGAGCAATTTAATAAAGACACGGACGTATTTCCCTACTATGTAAACTTCAGGAAGGGTGATGTTATTGTTCGTGTCCCCATTGCAATGGATGCCAATGCCTACAAATATGTTCAAGAAAACTCGTCGCAATTTCTAAGCAAACTGAAAGTCGAATTAACATCGGAATATGCCGGATCATGCGAGGAAATGTCTTCTTTTCCGCCGAAACCTACCAAAAACAAGTCGTATATCTTAATTTCTGACACCAACGATAAGGTAAAATAGCTTTCTTTTACCATATAGTAAATATTTTTTGCTTATACTTCACATGGTAATTTATACTGTTTTGTAGCATTTAACCGAAGAGCCTGACGAGGCACGGCCTATAGATCAGATTATTTTATTTAGCAATGAATTTAGGAAAATTCGTTGTTTCTATGGTAATTTGTGAATTGGAGGATTACTTCGATTTTCGATAGGTCTCACTTACGGCGATGTCTCTGAGTCAATCGCCCGTTGCTATGGCACTCAAGTGTCTAATTATATGCTCTTCAGAATGGAGAAATCTGCTTTGACTGCTTGGAGGCATTCTGCAGAAGTTGAACTTATTCGACGCTGGTTGGCAGACATGAAATCTCCCAAGTCAAGAGCCCGACTTTTTCCTCCTTTGAAGCTGAAGCGATCCCTTCTAAGCAAATATGTGAGTTTTTAATTTTATAAAATCTTCATTAGCTTTTGTATTTATCACGGTTAGTATCAAATGTTTAATAAAGATGGAATTATTTAGTATTATGTATTTCCGACCTTTATCTCTTTTTACCTTGGCTAAAGACGTACATACGCACCCCCCAGCATGTCGCTTATCCACTGATGTACATTAACCACTGCGTTGCCTTTTTGCTTTCAAATTTGACAAGCGTTGTCAGTTTATTTACCCCTAAGTTGTTGGATGTTTTTCTATGAAACTGGTTAATGTTGAATGCTGGTTGCCTTTTCTATGAGTATCGATTTATTTCAATCATCGCTTTGAGATATCTTTACTTTTTTATTGTATCTTTGATTTCTTTACCCTCTGAATATCATATTTGAACTTTTTTGACAATAATCCTTAGCAAAGTTGGTATCTCAAAGTGGCACAGTGATAAATCGAATAGATCATACGAATGATGTTGGTAGGCAAACAAAGTAGGTTGTAGAATCCGTATTTCACATAAAAGCGACTTCTAGCCACTCCCCATAAGCCCAATTATTTGCATTTTTCTCAATAATATCACAAATCCGTGTTCTTAAAGTGATTTTATCTACTTCTTATCTTTAGGATACACTTGCTTTAAAATCAGTAACATTTACTAAAGCGCAGGAAGCAAAGCTGGAAGAGTTCTACAGACGAGTAAGCTCCCGATTGAGACTATTCAGCTTTTACCATGGCTGCCATTTCACCTCCAATATATTTTTCAGAATGAGAATCCTGCTAAAGTTGGATTGCAGCACTTAAAGGAGGAGCTGGGAGTACAGGTCTGGAAGATTCGACAATGGTTAAAGTGGCGGGCACTTCGTGATAAAGAATAATACTTTGATATTCTATGTGATTTATTTGTAAATATAGCCTTTTTCTAAGTGCGACCTTGTTTCAATAGTGCGTACATCGCTTAAGCCGTGCAGCATCCGAAATTAAATTTCCCGAAAAATTTTGATCAGATGGCTTTCTGAGCCATTTGAACCTATGTGAGAGAGAGGTGATGGGGAGGGGGTAGGGGATAGCTAGGACAGACGGGAGAATTTTAACTCAAGTGTAACGAAGATGTAGTGTTGTGTTAAGTCATTGACTAATGTGTGCTCCAAAATCTATTTTCTTTTCTTTGTTCTTCAGGCGACCTTAATGCCCCATCATGCATTGTCATCTAATGTTTTGCGGTAAATCGATCAAAATATTCCGCATTATGTCCTTTGGAATGGTAAAGATAAATTCAAAATAATAATTGACTGACACAATTATCGCCAGGTTATTTTAAGCTCAGGTCAAAATGGTGGGAAGTTTATGCATCAGAGATTGAAACCCTTAAGATGGCAAGATAGTTAACTTTACTCAAAAATATCAAACTGTTTTCTATGATTAAATCAAATATTTGTGTAAAATTTGCTCAAGTAGAGCCCTACTTAGTACATAATCAAACGCTTTATGAAATTTAGTAAGTATAAATATGTTGCACACATTTGAGTACTCGTTTGCTAGCATGAATTCATTTAAGAGAAGGAGCAATGGAGGATGAGAGACCTTTCACAGCCGAAAAATTTCTTGGTTATGGGTGTTTTGGGGTTGTTTATTCGGTGAGTTCTCAACAAGTACACGACTGGAAGAAAATCTATGCATTGAAGCGCTTTTCCATGGAACACCCGGAAGCACTGATTTTTGCCATGAAGGAGTACAATGCTCTCAAGAAAGTGGCATGCGATACCGACAATTCTCCATTCATGCCAAAACTTTTTTATGCCTTCACAATAGAAATTTCTCCTGTTTTAGTGCTTAATCAAGCGAGTGGTATAACTCTACTTGATATTATTGATATAAATGGTCCTTTGAACCTTCGTAATGCTCAGTTTTATATATCAGAAGTAATGTGTGGCTTGAAGTATCTGCATAATCGAAA